TTTAAGAGATCTAACCTGCTTGAGGCTATCACTTTAGCTTTACATAGCCTCTACACAAACTAAAATTATAACAATACATCCTCTTTAATGATTGCGATGATAAAAAAGGCTACAGTGTGATATAGTGAATAAGTTAATGCAATAGCAATATCCACTTTTAAATCAAGTTTCTTTTATAATATTTATTCAAAAACTTTTATTTAGAGGGATAAATTTATTTAATTGAATATTGAAATAAGAATTTATTCTTTTAAAAGAGAATAAAAATATAGCACATAGAGTTTCTACTTTAATTGGTACTATTTCAAATAATTTTGAAACAACAGAGACTTGCACGTTAAAACTGATAAAAATAATAAAGTGAATATTTAATTATGATAATATTTAGAAAAAAAATAATAATTAATTCTGTATTTAGAACTATTTTTGTTGCCGTTAGTGAGATTTAAAAGATAGGAATTGAATGAAATTAGTATCATAATATATTCAATATGATAAAATCGAAACCAAATATTACATTAGGCGAAAGGCTTAAAACGATGATTATGAGCAGTCCAAAAGTTTTCTTCATTATTAGGATCATTAGAATCATCATCAATAATAGACCATCCAATCACTGGAGAAACGATCGATTCACCATCTGAAATTTCTTGATTGGCACCAATAAATCCCGCAATAAACTTTAAAGAATAGGAAAGGCCGTTATCTTCAACTTTAAAAGGAACTCCAACGGTACCGTGCGGAAAATCCCCAAGTTTTATGGAATTGCTTCCTAAAGCTGTTCCCTGACGATTATATGGAAAGAAACCTAAAATCCATCCCGTTACAGTAGAATGCGAATCACCTCCTGAACCATAGTTTACATGTACATTCATAATTCGACTCCAAAAATCTTCATCAATTTCACCACGATAAGTAGCTACAAGATTCCAAAGCACAGGTTCAAGACGATCTAACCAAAAGTCTAATTCTAAATTTAATTTTCTTAATTGTATAACTTTTTCTTGAAGTTTTGTCCAATCTTCAAGAGTGCCGTCAAGCGTAACCTTTGGAATTCCGCAACCCATAAAAACAGTAAACTTGAAATAGGCCTTAACCGTATCTAACATCACGATGCGACTTGCTGTCAAGGAATTTGTTGTTGTTGTCGAGAAATTGCATACTAATAATTGTGCTAGGTCGATTTTCTCTACATGCTTGTCAACTTCTGTTGTAAATCTATTTAAAACCTCTGGCCAATTCCCTTCATATGTATTTTTAAGACTATTTACGTATATAATATCGTCACCAAATATTATGATTTCTTTTTGCCCTTCATGTTTAACGAATCTTGATCGAAATTTTTCGGCATTATAATTAATGTGACGACTAACGCCTTGAGCAATTGTAAGCCAAACATCATCTGGACTCAAGCGTAAATGTTGATGATGGTTATATGCATGGAAAATGGCTGCTACAAAACCATTTGAACTGACTGGATTTTTAAGGACGGTTTTTTTAGGGTTTGGAGAGTCATCATAATCAACAGAAATTGCGTGTATTCTTTGATTTCGAAACCTTTGAGCAATTATTTCTTTAACTGGAATATGAGGTTTTAATTCATTATCAAGCTTAATGCTTTGAGTTAAGATTTGAGTGCTACAAGTAATATTTGTTGCCTGCATCTTTGTCTAAAAATTTTAAAATTGATTTAATGAATTTTTT